AGTTATTTGGAGTGAATATGTTCTCTATGTGGGTAAAACAATAATAATAAATGTTTGAGCCAGCTGTTATAGCAAACTCCTTTAGTCACAGTACTTGGGAGACAGAGACAGACAAATCTGAGCTCAAGGCCAGCCTGATCTACATATTGAGTTACAGTCTAGCCAAGGCTGCATAGCAAGACTTGCCTAAATAGGCAGGCAGGCAGGCAGACAGACAGACAGATAAATAGAAGAAAGCTATGTTTGATGAACAGACTAGGTCACTAGACCCATTTGATTTTGAACACACAAAGCTAGAATCCCTTTCCATTAACCAAATGGCACAAGTTCTAGCCAAAAGAACATGCTTATTTAGCCCATTCAAGGACTAGACAACAGCTATCTACAAGCATCATCTCCATTATCTTTTCCTCTTCCATGTCAACTTTGGAAATCAACATTGAAGATGATGGTATCATAGGATAAAAGGAATATGAGTTCCTCAATGATTGAGAGGCTCCCCCCATTGAGCCTGTGTACTGAGAGAGTTATAAGCAATCACATGTCATTGTGTGAAATTGAAGAAATGTTCTTAAGGAAAAAGAATAAAGAATGTGTTCATGCTTGGCCAGGCAAGGAAATATTGTATTTAGATTCAATCTGCCCTGTGCAATGGCCTGTAATAGAAATGGAGGCAACAAGCTATATAACTTGATCTAAGGATCTAAGAATTAAAACCCATGGGAACCAAGTCCCTTTTTGTGCATCCCATGTTTGGGAAACAACTATGCTGATTAGAAAATGGCATCAAGGAGGGCTGGAGAGATGGCTTAGCAGTTAAGAACACTGTCTACTCTGCCAGGGGACCAGGATTCAATTCCCAGCACCCAAATGGCAGCTCTCAAAGTGTAACTCCAGTTCCAGAGGATCTGACACCCTCACATAGATATGCATACAGGAAAAACACCAATGTGCATGGGATAAATAAACATTTTTTAATGGCATCAAAGAATGTTTTAACCTATAATCTGTAATCTCAGCACTTTTAATTTAATGTACAAACACAAAAATACATGGATTTAAATATGAACTGGGCCTGGTGACAAGGACTATAACTGCAACTAACTCTGAAGACTAAGGCAGGAGGATGGCAGGCTCAAGGACTATCTAGGCTATAGGGAGAGTTCAAGTCCAACCTGGGCAACTTAGTGAAATCCTGTCTCAAAATTAAAAAAATGCAAGAAGAGCTGGGATATAACTCAGCAGTATGGCACTTGCCTTGAGTTTAGTCTCCATTACTGCAAAAAAAGGCATAAATATGCAAAGCCAATTACAGAGTACAAAGTTATTTTATGTATGGCACAAACTGAGATGAGAAAATAACAAACCCTTTTAACCCCAGGCCTAAAAAGACTCTGTAGATGATGTACAAAAGATTAGAGACAAAAATAGTATAAAACATATGCAATACCTAATATGATCTGTACCCATTTGTTGGCATGGAAATAACTAAAATATGAGACTTATACCCCATTCCAATACTCCCTGTTACTCCCATGCCACAGACTGAAAAGAAACTGTGCCCAGACCTCCCCAGTTCTGTCTGTGCTTCAGCACTCTGACCTCGGGTGCTGGTGTAGCCCAACGAGCTGCTGACTTCATACTGGTGCAGGTGGGGGTTAGGGATCATCAGGATGTTGGTGCTCTTGCCCAGGGAGCTGTCATCAGAAGCCTGGCTCCTCACTTCCTCAGTGGGCAGTGCACGGCTTGGTAGGGAAGGGCTGGATGAGACATCACAGGAGCTGGCACTTTTGCGATTATGATTCTCCTGCTCTCTTACAGACCTGACATCCAAGAGACGACAAAGACACTTCAACTCTGAGTTAAAATATCAACGATGGCCAGGTGGTGGTGGCACACGCCTTTAATCCCAGCACTCAAGGATGCAGAGGCAGGCAGGTCTCCGTGAGTTCAAGTCCAGCCTGGTCTACAAAGCGAGTTCCAGGACAGGCTCCAAAGCCACACAGAGAAACCCTGTCTCAAAAAACCAAACAAACAAACAAAATCAACGATGATCATCAGCTATATATACTCAGAAAACCAACATTGAAATGCTTAATGTGGGAAATAATGCTAGCTTAAACAAAGTCAGATTTCATCTCAAAAGGGAAAAAAAAGGCATGGTGACTTATATGTAATCCTAAAAATTGAGAGGCTGAGGCAGGAGGATCATCCTAGGCTACACAGTGAATCCTTGGGCTATAGCATGAGACCCTGTATCAAAACAAGAAAAAATCTTTTTGAAAAAAAGCGTTTTATTATTTTAACTATGTGTATGTGTCAGTGTGGTTGAAGGGTATGTGCATGTGATTGTAGATGCCCAGACTGGATTCTCCTAGATCTGGAGTTACAGGAAACTGTGATAGGGCCAATGTTGGGGCTGGGACTTGAACTCAGGTCCTCGGAAGAGAAGCATGTGCTCTCAACTAATGAACCATCTCTCCAGGCCATACAAAAATGTATACAGAAGTTGAGCTGAAGAGATGGACCAATGGTTAAGAACACTTGCTTCTCTTGCAGAGGACCAAGGTTCCATTCTCATCACCCATATCAGTTGGCTCACAACAGTCTGTTGAGTTCCGGGAGACCTAACCCCCTCTTCTGGCCTCATCAAGCATTGCATGTGCAGACAGACATAGATGGAGGCAATACACCCATACATAAAAGTTAAATAAATTATTTTTTAAATGTATCCTAAGTAATATGGCACTTGCTACTGTTGCAGAGGACCCGAATTTGCTTCTCAGCATCAATCAGGCTGCTTACAACCACCTGTTGTAACTCAGATCCTGGAAATCCAATCCAGAGTTCTGGCCACTGTGGGTACCTACTCACACTGTGGCAAACAAACACACATGTCAACACAATACACATAAATAAAAAATTAAAATAAATCTAAAAGAAGAAACAGAAACAAATAAAAAGCCCTAAGAAAAGCCCCAGAATAGCTATGACTGAGTCTCCTAAGTAGCACCAGATGTCAGTCTAGGGCAGTGTGAGCTACGGAGCAAGATCCTGTCTCAGGAAAACAAAAGCCAAGCTTGTTAGTACAGGCTTATAATCTCACCTACTCCAAAGGCTGAATCTTGAAAATTGTAAGTTCAAGGCTAATCTGAGCTACAGTAAGTTCAAAGTCAACCTGGGCAACTAATTCATTGAGACGCCATCTAAAAGCAAAAGGGATCTAATGCAAGCTTAGCCAGCTTGAAGCCCTAAATTCAATTCTAATATGAGGAAAGTAAAACAAAATCTAAACTAAGAAAAAAATACAAGACTACTATGAAAATAAAATATAGGGACTAGAAAAATAGCTCAGTGGTTTTTCCAGAGGATCTGGGTTCAATTCCAGCATCCACATGCTGGCTCATAATTGTCTATAACACCAGTCCTAAGGGATGTGATGCCTCCTGGGTTCCTGAGCACAGGCACATACCTGGTATATAAGCATGCATGCAGGTAAAACATTCATACACATACAAATTTTTTTAAATGTTTTAAAATTTTAAAAATATTTAACTTGGAGTAGCTCTTTTTTTAATTATTATTTTTTTATTTTTTTATTTTTTGCGACAGTCTCACTCTATTATGTAGTCCTGGCTATTCTGGAACTCACTATGTAGACTGGCCTAGAACTCAGAGATCTGCCTCCCAAGTCCTGGGGTTAAAGATGTGTGCCACCACATTGGCTATTTTGTTTTTAATTATGAGTACGGGTGTGTTTCTGTATGTGGTTGTGTGTATGTGACTGCCAAGTGCCTTTGCAGGGGGTAGTTGTGAGTTTCCTGGCATGGGTGCTGGAAACTGAACCTGGGTATTCAACAAGAACAATAAGCACTCAATTTCTGAAGCATCTCTCTAACTCGAAGTGCATTAAAAAAATTTTTTTTTTTTTTTTTTTTTTTGTTTTTTGAGACAGGGTTTCTCTGTGGAGCCTTGGCTGTCCTAGAACCAGGCTGGCCTCTAACTCACAGAGATCCACCTGCCTCTGCCTCCCAAGTGCTGGGATTAAAAGTGTGTGCCACCACCACCTGGCCTGCTCCAAGTGCATCTTAAGAAAACTACACAAGATCCAAAAATGAACAGGTTGTTAAATCTATCACAATTATAAACTGCTAATTGGCCAAAATGGCAGAGAGCAAATTTAAAAAGTGGGAGTTAAAGAAAGAAAAACTCTGTTCTTGGAAAAATAAATTTAAAAGATCAATATTAGTGCTGGCTGAGAAAGAGCCTGTGCTTTGTGAATTTCATTTCCTGGCTAAAATGTGTCTGAGAATCATCCTGTATCTTGAGACAAAATGTCACTACAGACAAAACAAACTTAAGAGCCTGAAAATGGAATCCCCAGTGATCTCTACAACACAGCTTTCCTGAGGCTAATTTTAATTTAAAACTCCTTTAAATTTTTTTTTTTTTTTTTTTTTTTTTGTTTTTCAAGACAGGGTTTCTCTGTGGCTTTGGAGGCTGTCCTGGAACTAGCTCTTGTAGACCAGGCTAGTCTCGAACTCACAGAGATCCACCTGCCTCTGCCTCCCGAGTGCTGAGATTAAAGGCATGCACCACCACTGCCCGGCTTCCTTTAAAATTTTTTAAATCATTTTTTAATGCATGTAAATATTCTGCCTGCATATATGTAGGTGCACATGTTTTCCTGGAGTTCCAGATGGTTATGTAGGACGCTAGGAACTGAACCTGGGTCCTCTGAAAGAGTAACAAGTGCTCTTAACCACTGAGCAATCCCTCCAGACCCAATTTAAACATTTTTAAGGCTGCTTTCATAAAGGTCCCTCAGTTTTCTTTTTGCTTTATACTAGTCTGTTTTAATATAAACAAATGTTGGAATTTAAAAAAAAAAAAACATGGATCGAGACCAGCCTGGTCTACAAGAGCTAGTTCCAGGACAGTCTCTAAAGCCACAGAGAAACCCTGTCTCAAAAAAACAAAAATAAATAAATAAATACTAAAAAATCATGGAATACTTCACGAATTTGTATGTTATCCTTACACAGAGGCTATGCTAATTAATCTTCTCTGTATTGTTCCAATTTAGTATATGTGCTGCCGAAGCAAGCACCTCTCAGGTTTTCTTAAACAATCTATTTTCCCTGAAATACAGCCTCACTATATAATTGGGGCTGGCTTTGAATTTGGAATCCCTCCACCTTTGCCTATTGAATGTTAGGGTACAGACCTGTGCCACATGTCTGGCCCCTAAATAATTGTATATGCACCCTCAAAGGAATCTGACAGAAAACCTGCATGTGGCGAGGCGCTGAGCCCGAGATGGACCGGGCAGCCTGAATACTTGAGCATCGTAGGCATCATAATCTACTTGGATGGGAAGGGTATTTTCAGATTCCTTCGGCGTCCCAAGAGCTGTAAAACACAAATAATACAATTAAAACACAATTTCAACAGATATCTATAGAAATATCTATAAGTATCCAATAGATATCTACAGAGATGACCTATAGAGGGTCATCAAAATCTGCAAGGCACAGGTGATCATCTACCAAGGAAAAGATGGAATAATAACCCAACTATCAGGTTAAGACTGGATGATATAGCCGGGTGTTGGTGGTGCACGCCTTTAATCCCAGCACTCAGGAGGCAGAGGAAGGCGGATCTCTGTGAGTTGGAGGCCAACCTGGTCTCCAGAGCGAGTTCCAAGATAGGCTCCGAAGCTACACAGAAAAACCCTGTCTCGAAAAACCAAAAAAAAAAAAAAAAAAAAAAAAAAGACTGGATGATATAAATGTCAAAGTGACATTAAAATAGTACAGCAGTAGCTTGGCATGGTGGCACACGCCTTTAATCCCAGCGTTCAGGAAGTAGAGGCAGGTGAATCTCTGTGAGTTCGAGGACATCCTGGTCTACAAAGTGAGTTCCAGGACAGCCAGGGCTGTTACACACAGAAGACCTGTTTCAAAAAAACAAACAAACAAAAAAGTATAGCAGTTAAAGAAAGGCAATGTTCAGCACGTTAGTCCTATACATAGTCCTGCTGAAATACCACCTGAGCATCCTCCGTGCTTCACTATTTTTCACCTGACCCATTCACTGCAGCCGACAAGGTACAACTAAAAAGTGGCTAAAGACCCTTCCAAAGGTGACACTGGAATGTGGATGTACTGACTTTTATATGAACCTTCTTATGACACTTCCCATTATTTTGTTGCCATAAATTAGCTAATTATTTCTAAAAGTGATGAAAAACATCTCAAAAATACTCACATGTATCACGGCCATTTTTGGTTTTCTCAGAAGCAGGCTGAAAAATTAAATAAATATTTTATCACTCCTCTGATAGAACCAAACTTAACACAACACAGTATGTTACGTACTACTCCCCAGAGCAAAGACCATGTTCTAGCTATCAGGTAACTTATGAAAAATGGGTGTGAACACTTGACAAGCCCTGGGAAGTCTTTTAGTTCCCACCTTGTATCTTATGCTCACAACCTTATCCAGGTAGGGCACAGACCCCACTTCCTTCCTGCGGATTCAATCCGCAGGACCTTGTGCATCCTTAGCAAAGCTACAGCCCCAGCTTCTCCATAAAGTTTCACCACAAAAATGTTTAAGCCCTATTTATGACCCTAGGCAGGGAAGAAGGGAGATGACAGTACTTTAGATCAGAATAAACACACAGTTGTATGTAGCCCCCGAAAGTTGTTCAAACTGGGAAAACATACCTTCTTTCCTGCCAGTTTTATCCGTGGAGTAAAACTGTTACAAAAGAGCTGGCTTTTGGATGTGTAGAAACTGTTTTAAAAAAAAAAGAGTCATAAATCTGTAACTTATTTTTTTATTTTTGCATGCATTTGGCATTTGGCCTACATATATGTCTGTGTGAGGGAGTCGATCTCCTGAAACTGGAGTTACAGATAGTTGTGAGTTGCCACGTGGGTGCTGAGAACTGAACCCAGGTTCTCTGGGAAGAGCAAATGATATTCCTAACTGCTGAGGCATCTCACCAGGAACAATTTTTTGTTGTTGTTGTTTTGGTTTTTTTGTTTTTGTTTTTTGTTTTTCAATACAGGGCTTCTCAGTGTAGCCCTGGCTGTCTTCAAACTCAGATCTGCCTACCTCTGCCTCCTAAGTGCTAAAATAAAAGGTGTGCTAGACTATGCCCAGCTTCTTTAATCTAAACCTTAAAACAAAACTGCAATCCCAAGTAAGATCAGCTTGCCTGTGCCTGACTTTGTTTTAGGTTTACAAATCTTCCCAATTCTAGCCAGTGAGATGGCTCAGTGGGTAAAGCACTGTGAAAACCTGACAGTGTAATCTTCAGCAACCTCTGGTGGAAGGAGAGAATGAATTTTCAAAAGCTGTTCTCTGACCTACACACACACACACACACACACACACACACAAATTACACACATACATAAAAGTAATTTATTATTAGAAAGCCAAGCACAGTTGTAAATGCTTTTAACACAGTACTCTGGAGGCAGAGGTAAGTGGACCTCTATGAATTAAGAGGCCAGCCGATTTACATAGCAAGTTCTCAGCCAGCCTAGGCTACACAGTAAGACTTTTTCTCAAATAATAATGGTAATAATAATAATATAATAATAGTAAAAATTTAAATTCCAATTTCAATATTAACAATGATTTCAACTGCTGCTCTGGCCTTTTCTCCTCATATATCATATGTTCAGTGTTTAGCCTGCACTAGTCCTAACTGCTAACTAGATCAGAGTGTTCTATTTCAGGGACAAATCTCTTTACTTTTTTTTTTTTTTCTGAGACAAGGTTTCTATCCTGGAACTCGCTTTTTAGACCAGGTTGGGCTCGAACTCATAGAGATCCACCTGCCTCTGCCCCCCTAGTACTGAGAGTAAAGGCGTGAAACACCAATGCCTGGCTATATCAAATGTGTTTAGTATAATGTTAGAGCCACAGGAAGTTCTTAATATTCACTCACTGGTCTGGACTTAGTTAAACAAAACAAAATAAGGTTTTTTTTTTTTTTAAAAAAAATAAAGGACAAAAGTTAGTGCTCCAGAAAAGATATCAGAAACCATTAAATCCCAATCCCTCTAAAAGTAATCTTAATACGTCCATGTCATAAACCTATATTAACTGGGGACCAGCCTCACACCCGAGTGCTGAATGAACACACAGAAGTTATACTGCCTTTCCATGCAGTATATTCTCTTTTCTCAGTCATAAACTTACAATAATGTTTGGGCATTGCCCTAAGTCTACCTTCTAGAAAATCTCTGACTATAAACAAATAAAAATTAAAAACAAAGCCAGATGTGGTGGGACACACTTTTTCAACACTTTTGAAGCAGAGGAATGTGGAGTTCAAGGCCAGTCTAGTTTTGGTGAGTTCTAGGTCAGCCACAGCTACAAAATGAAAGCCTGCCTCACAAAAACAAAAAAATAAAAGCAGCAGCATCTGCAGTAAGTGACAGGCTATGGGAACAATTTTATGGTAAACTAAAAATACATAAGAACATAAGAGTGTCACCTGTACCCGCCATGAGACCTGGAGCCCAGCTGACCCCTGATTTGGCTTCTCCCAGTGGTAGAAAGGACAGAACTAAGTAGATGTTGCTATTTTCTTCCCGGACATCAGGAGTAAAGGATATGAGTGAAAACCTGGCATGATGGCAGACATCCATTATTATAGCACTTGGAAGGCTGAGGCAGAAGGAGTGCTTGAGTTTTAGGCCAGCCTAGGGCACACAGCAAGACCATGTCTCAGGAAAAAGAAATTGCTAAGGAGATGGCTTAGTCAGTAAAGCGCTTGTCATGCAAGCATGAGGACCTGGGTTCAATTTCCACAATGCAAATAAAAAAGCCAGGCTCAGTACTACACACTTGCAATACCAGCACAGGTGAGACAGATAGGTAGATAGATCCCTCTGGCTCACTGTCTACCCAGCCTAGTTTAATTGGAAAAGCTCTAGGACAATCAGAGAACCTGTCTCAAAAAACAAAGTGAATGGCTCCTTAGGAAAGACACACTAGGTTGATATCTGCCCTCCACAAATATGTACATACACATGCATACACACCCTCATACACATGTGTAGCAATATAATGAAAATATCTCTTACATTCTAAATGACTGGAACTTCTGCTGGACCTCCCAGCCATAGTTAACAGTTCACCTTGAAGACACTTAAGACTGACTTTAAGAGAACAATGTATCACAGGGCATGGTGGTGTATGTCTTTAACCTCAGCACTAGGAACAGAGGAAGTTTAGGTCAGTCAGGGAGGGAGGGAGGAAAGGAGGGAGAGAAGGAGGGAGGGGGAGAGACAGAGAGCGAGAGAGAGCACTCACGAGCACAATGGGTCAAACAAACTTACTTACTTGCCTTATATTTTCCATGTAATCAACCTTTATAAGCTACACTGTAAACTATGTACTCTTCCTTGTCCTTGACCCATAAATAATGCACATGTATGTGTTATAGTAATAAATGCTGGAAATAGCAAATACAAAACAAATGAAAATCCACCATAAATGTTGAAGACAACATACCAATATTGCTTGATAGCTTCTGATTGCTTGTTATCTGTGTCAGTGGGACTCAGTGACACAATCCCTTATAAAATTCTGTTAAAGATTTCTGTAAAGTATCCCTCATTCCTTCCCCATGTGATGTGTTCTGTGCTATTCAATAAAAGAGAAAGACAAGCCCTTTGTTAGGGACACAAAGAGACACACACACACACATGGAGATTCACAAGATGACATTCAGGCAGGCAGAGATTCATTCAGGCTGATACAACAGACTAAGAGAAAAATACAAAAAACAGAGGGAGAGAAGTAGAGAATTCGAATCTGGGCTCAATCTCAGTTAAATTACACCAAGTGGAAGTGCTTTTAATTTCTTTTTTTTGTTTGTTTTTTTTGTTTTTTGTTTTTTTGGTTTTTTTGTTTGTTTTTCGAGACAGGGTTTCTCTGTGTAGCTTTGGAGCCTATCCTGGCACTTGCTCTGGAGACCAGGCTGGCCTCGAACTCACAGAGATCCACCTACCTCTGCCTCCCGAGTACTGGGATTAAAGGTGTGCGCCACCAATGCCTGGCTAATTTCTTTTTTTTTTA